TCAATAAAATTTATAATAAACTCATATCTGCGTATATATGCATACATTTTCTCTCCAGAGGGCCTGTTGTTAGACATTTAGCAGCACACCACAGGGCAGACTGCCTTAGGCTGAGGAGTGACCAGAGATGTGACTTTGGAAGGATTCCCAGAAGAGGGAGGGAATCACTGATGGAAAGAAGCTCCTAGCAATGGAGCGAAGAGAGGCAGGTAAGTGGGGCTCAGGTGGAGGGTCAGCCCGGAGGAAGGATGTAGGAGTGAGGAGAACCTGGAGGAGAAGGAAGCTGGGGGAGGAAGCTCGCCGTTTTCTCTGCCAAGTAGGATGTAAGCCATCTTCTGACGCGCGAGGGAGAGAAGAAGCGAAGAGCTGAGGCAGGGAGAAGGCTTGGCCTACGTGGCCAGTGAGGGGCAAAGAGAAGGGACCCGAGAGGATGAGCCTGACTCAGAAAGACAGAAAACAACAACAGAATCACAGCTGTGAGAGCTGGAAGGTGAGGTGTAAACCCGGTTCTGGCCCTGAGTCAAGCCCCGCAGTGTGGATTGCTTTCTTAATCTCCCAGGACAGTCCGAGGAGGAAACCGAGGTTTGGAGAGGTGAAGCCCTTTATCCACGGCCCACAGCCAGTTAGTGGCAGAAGCAGGATGCGAACTCAGGCAGCTGGGCTGTGTTGACAGGGCAGGAGCCTGCACAGCGCCTCTCTCCTTAGCAAAGCCCTGCAGACTATGCAAATTGGAACGGCTACAGAACAGATTGGCAGGGCAGGTGTGGCCACATGTCAAGGGCTTGAGGGCATCAAAAGGACTGGCAAGCGCCTCACGCCTCTAACCCCAAGCTGGTGTCCACCTAACAGCGCGTTCATGGAGCCCCTCCTCAGTGTCTGCCGAAGCTAATAGTAACGAATCAGGCTTGCCTTTTCTTCTGTCTTGGCTATTTCGTTTTCTAATAATTCATTCTTATTGTATTTTTAAAAAGTAGAGTACACGGGGGCTGGCCCCGTGGCCGAGTGGTTAAGTTCGCGCGCTCCACTGCAGGCGGCCCAGTGTTTCGTTGGTTCGAATCCTGGGCGCGGACATGGCACTGCTCATCAGACCACGCTGAGGCGGCATCCCACATGCCACAACTAGAAGGACCCACAACGAAGAATGTACAACTATGTACTGGGGGGCTTTGGGGAGAAAAAGGAAAAAATAAAATCTTTAAAAAAAAAAAAGTAAAGTACATGACAGTTTGGAAATTTACAGAATCGGTCCTTCGCCTGAGAACATTTGGTCAGCACTGACCTAATGCCCCTTCTGATCGGGTTGCTCCCCTGCTGGGAACCCTCCGTGATCCCCACTGGCTACAGCAGAGGTTCCAAAGGGTGGGCGGGGACCAATTCGTGGGTAGGAGCTTAATTTAGTGAGTCATTACCAGCGTTAAAACAAGAAAAGAACTGGGGTGAAAGAGAAAATATTGGAGTATATCACATCTAGTAAATACATTATTTTGGCTGTGTACAGTCTCGCGTCGCTTAACGACAGGGATGCGTTCTGAGAAATGCGTCGCTAGGCAGTTTCATTGTCAAACATCATAGAGTGCACTTACACAAACCTAGATGGTATAGCCCACTACACACCTAGGCTGTATGGTACACATCTTATGGGACCACCAACGTATATGCCATCTGTCACTGACCAAAACATCATTATGCAGTGCATGTGTATGTCACGTGCCGTATACTCACATATATTTATTTTTGGTATTTCATATATTTTTGGTATTTCATATATTATAATGCATGTATGTACCGGAATTTGATGAAAAATGTCTTCCACCGGTCTACTGGATAAAGATGGCACTGCCAGGCCTGCCACTGGAAGCCATGGAAGAGAGAGCAATTGCTGAGGAAGAGCAGGCACCACTTTCCAGGGAAAGGGTGAGGGTGAGCTGGTTTGGAGGATGTCCAGGTTGTGAACGAACAGAGGGAAGGACATGAGCAGAGACCCAGAAAGACGACGACTTTCAAGCCTCGATTGTGTCGGTGCTCCAACTCAGAATGGGTCTGAGGGGCCGGCCCGGTGACACAGCAGTTAAGTGCACATGTTCCACTTCCCTGGCCCTAAGTTTACCGGTTCAGATCCCGGGTGCGGACATGGCACTGCTTGACAAGCCATACTGTGGTAGGCGTCCCACATATAAAGTAGAGGAAGATGGGCATGGATGTTAGCTCAGGGCCAGTCTTCCTCAGCAAAAAGAGGAGGATTGGCAGCAGATGTTAGCTCAGGGCTAATCTTCCTCAAAAAGAAAAAAAGAGAGAGAATGGGTCTGACGTGGCCTCTGGGAGCTTGCAGGTTGTGTGAGGGCTGTAGTCCCTGTGATGGGAGTTTAGAGGAGGGAGTCCCTAAGTCTGCTGGGGAAGTCAAAGGAGACTTCAAGAGGTGGCAATGCCTTAGCTGACTTCTTTTTTTTCTCTTCTTCTCCCCAAAGCCCCCAGTACATAGTTGTATATTCTAGTCCTGAGTCCCTCTGGTTGTGCTGTGTGGGATGCTGCCCCAGCATGACCAGATGAGCGGTGCCATGTCCGCACCCAGGTTCCAAACCGGCAAAACCCTGGGCGGCTGAAGCAGAGCTCGTAAACCCAATCACTTGGCCACGGGGCCAGCCCCTTTTTTTAACATTAATTTTAATTTAATTTAATTTTTTTCCTAGCTGACTTCTGAGGGAAGAGTTGGGGTTCGCCAGGGGAACAGGGGTGTGGGGAAGGCTTGTCTGGCCAAGCGAGTGGCTTGTGAAAAGGCACGAGAAAGCCCGTCATGTTTGGGGGAAGTGTTTAGTATATGTAGAAGCATTCAGTATAGGTAGAGCATGAACTAGGGAGGGGGCCTTCACGTGCCGTGTTGAGAGTCAGGATGTCATTGTGGCATGGGAAGCCGTGGAGGAATTTTCAGCAGAAGAATGACGAGTAGACTTACATCTCAGGACTCCGGCAGCCCTGAGGAGAGTGGATTAACAGGGAGGAGGCAGGAGGCCACAGACCTGTAGGATGACTATCGCAATAGTTGGGCCTGAAGTAGGGCAGTGCGGGTGCAGCGGGAGGCGGGAGGGAGCCTCAGGAGGAGGGGCCCACAGAACGCAGCCACTCATCAATCAATTGGATGGGCAGTGAGAGAAGGGAGGAGGTGAGGATGAGTTCAGGGTTGTTGACTCGGGAAACTGGCTAGATGATAGTGCCTTTTGCCCAGATAAAGAACACGGTGGGGGGCAGAGCGGGTCTGGGGAGAAGATAACGCATTTAATCCTGAAAGTGGCCCTTGTAGGTGGACATGGCAATGGGCAGCTGGAGCAGCGGAGAGAGGTTAGGCGGGGGGATACAGCCCGGGGAGCATGTAGAATGAGAGAGAAAAGGCTGTAGAGGGAGCCTCAGGGAGAAAGGAGTCCAGGAAAGACTGAGGAGAGTGGTCTTTGAGGCACAGAATCCGGAAACTTGGGTCACAAGAGCCAGTGGGGTGGAAAGGACGTAGGAGGAAAAGCAGCAATGCAAATGCTTCAGGAAATCAAATTCTCTGAAGGGCCCGTGGGATGTGGCCATTGGGAGGCAACTGATGCCCTTGGGAAGGGTACAGCGGAGGGTGGTGGGGGCAGAACCAGGGGCTTTGGGGGCGAGTGGAGATGACACAGTGAGGCAAAGAGGAAGCAGGGCTGTGTCTAGACCATGTGATGCCTTTGTGCGAATTAGACAGGGGTGCCCCTTCCTCTGGGCAGATCAGTCCCTCATCCCAGCATGCTGGCTGGGCGAGGGAGGGATGCGGGCGGGACCTCAGCCCCACATGGCTCATAGTGGGGCATCTGCATGCCACAGTCCTGCAAGAGTGGACAAGCCCTTCTGGAAACTGACCTGGAAGGAAGGAGAGAAGTAGTCATTGACCAAGGGGGCTGCTGGACCATGTGAGGGGTTTATTTAAGATGTGAGAGCCTGGTGCGTGCTGACTCGGATGAGAGAGGGGAATCCCTGAGGAAAAAGAGTACAGGACAGGGAGACCTGCAACAAGAAGCTGCGTGGGAGCCCAGGCCGGAGTGGGCACGCCTCTGATGTGCTGGGAGCCAGGACAAGGCCGGTGCGGCTCCCAGGGTTGTTGCGGGAGGGGGCGGAGGCTGAAGGAGAGCAGGGCTGTGCACGCAGCCTGGAGCCCTGGGCTGGTGTGCAGGCAAGAGTTAGATGTGAATCTCTGAGGTGAGGCGTGGGAGAAGACGCTGAGCAGGGACACAGACACAGCTGAGAAGCCCTGTCCTAGGTGACCAGCAGTTCCCATGCCCAAGACTGGGTGACATGCAGCCTGCCCAGGCAGCGAGCCTAGAGCTAGGCAGGCCAGGCTGGGGAGGGTGTTGGCAAAGAGATTTTGTTTACTTATTATTTTACTTTTTACTATGGAAAATTTTCAAACATCTAAAAGTCGTGGGAAACGCAAATGAAATCATTTGGCTTCAATAATTATTACTAATGTCAATGTTATTTTATGATCTCCCTTTTAAGTATCTTTTTAAAAACTTAAAACAATCTTTTAACAGACTGTTTTAGAGCAGTTTTAGGTTCAGAGCAAAACTGAATGGAAGGTACAGAGATTTCCCATATATATCTGGTTAAAAACTTTTTTATTTGGAATTAATTTTAAGCTTACAGAAAATTGCAAGAACTACTCTTTTTATTTTATATAATATTTTTCTTATTAGAGAATCTATTCTCAGAATGTATACAGAAGAAAATTGAGATCATTCAGGATTCTACCACCTGAAAATAGCTACTGTCATTGTTTTGGTGTATTTCCTTCCAGTCTTTTTTCTATGCTTACATACATTTTTTTTTTTTCTTTTTGCAGGGAAAGATTCACCCTGAGCTAACATCTGTTGCCAAGCTTCTTCTTTTTTTTTTCCTCCGCAAAGCCCTAGTGCGTGGTTGTGTATTCTAGTTGTAAGTCCTTCTAGTTCTATGTGAGCCACTGCCATAGCACGGCAACTGACAGATGGGTGGTGCGGTTCCGTGGGAAACAAACCCAGGCCACCAAAGCTGTGAGAGCGCCGAACTTTAACCACTAGGCCATCAGGGCTGGCTCCTTACATACGTATTTTTAACTGGACTGTTTTATTCAGAGACTAACCCCATCCCCCAAAGCCTTCCTGTCTGGTGTGTCCACATGAGCTGGCTTAGTCCCAGGCCTCCACCCTAAACCCCTCCACTGAGAGTCTGCTGAGAGCAACAAGTTAATCCAAGTTTGTGGTTTGTGGATGCCCTCATTCCCTGGTTTCAGTGCTAACGCAGGTTTCCCCTTTAACATTCCTCTCCTCTTTGTTTTTCTTGGATAATAGAGGTTGATTTCTGGTGGGACAAATTGCCCAAAGTTCCCTGGACCGCCGCCTTGCTCACCTCCCACACTCATCTCTCTGGATTTGGAGCATCAGTGTCTGATCTGTCTCCTCACTCACCTGAGCCCTGAGGTTAGGGCTCAGGTCTGATTCATCTCTCAACATGAGGCAGAGTTGGCCTCAAGAAATATGTATGGAATTGAATCAACCCACTTATTTGGCATTGCCCATCCCCATCTATGCTGCAGACTCTCAGAGTGCCTTACATAATTTACAGCCACCAGCATGGTGCCTGGCGTACGGTAGGTGCTCAGTAAATGTTTGTTACTACTGTTACCAGTAACCTGGAGACTTCCCTACATGTTAGGGCCCTGATATTCTTTCCCCCTTCCCTTTCCAGCCTCACCCACTTCTTCCTCATGGTGAAGAAGAGAGACCACTCTGATGTGCCAGCGGGCAGGTGCCCACGCCTTGTGCCCCGTCTTCCATGAGTCAGGAGCAAAGCTGAGCTGGCAGTGGATTCACGAGAAGCAGTTCCCTGTGCTGAGGCTATTTTACCTGTTTGTATTGCTCACAATACCACGTATCATTAGCAGCAATTAAAACTGTTTCAGGATCAGTTCAAAGCTGCCTTTGAGGTATTTTAAGTTGGACAAAGTCCTCCATGAGTCTAGCTCCAAGTCAAGTTTCTTGGTGGCATTAGAAGCCTAGTATTTGGGGACTTGATTGCCTGAACATTTCATATATAGCAGGGGTGTTTGTCGAAAGTGGGCAAATGTCCCCAGAGCTGTTTGTAATGTCTTACAAGCCCCACTTCCAACCTCAACTAAGAGGAGGGGACCACGGAGGAGAGGATGAGGGGATCTGCATAGGGTTTTTCCATACAGCCAGTCCCTCTGGCCGGGCAAAACCCGGAGGGAGAGCTGCAGGAATCAGAGCAGGAAGGGATGTGGGCCAGGTCTCGGGTGGGGGCATCAGCAATTGGGAAGAAGGCGGGAACCCAGTTTGGAGGGCCAGGCTGTGAGGAGGTGTGGGGAGGCCTTTAGGACACCTTAAGTAATCTTCATATTCGATTGAAAGATAAAACAGGCACAGAACCGGTTTTGGCATATTAGACTTCCAGGGAATTAGTCAGCAACTGCTTCTGACCAGCTCTTGGTTGGCCCTGTCCGTGACCCCAGGCCTGGAGGGCTGGCCGTGGCGTTGGGGCCTGGGGTCCCTGTTCCCTAAATACTGCTGGAACCCTCCAAGATCCTCCAGGGCCACAACTGGCACCAAGCATCTTGCTGCCTGCTGACAGAGTGGGTTCAGCTGGGCTCAGCCAGGCGGCTTCCTGGGCGAGGGTTCGAAACTGGATGGTGCAGAAGGGTGGAGGGCGACCCAAAGTGGAGGAAGAGGTTCCAGAGCAGTGGAGAACTGGGGGAGGGCCCTGCCGGCAGGAATGCTCTGTCCCTCAGCAGCAACACTGGCCCGTTCAGTGAGGCTGTGGCAGGGACCGAGGAGGGGGACCAGCCAAGGACAAGCTGTCCTGCCCAAGTGCTTTTAGCCATAACCCATGTGGGAGCTGGGTGGTTCCCACTCGGGAAGAGCACGCTGGTCGTCAGAGGGCTTGTGGTTTGGAAATAAGGAACCTGCTGGTGCCTTGGGCTCCCCACACCCCTTGCTTTGGTCAGAGCCCATCCAGACCCCCTTGGGCTCTGATTTGAATCCCTAACCAGACTTCTGTGCAGAATTCACCTCTTTGCCCCTCTTTTAACTCACAGAACTGGCGCCATAACCCACTGAAGCAGAATGCCGGAAGCTGGACGCAGCTGTGGTCCCTGCTCCTAGGAGCTGTGCCATCAAAGCCGGCACAACCCCCAACACCAACCCAGGGGGGCCGGGGGGCCGGGCCTCAGGACAGGCTGGGGCAGGAGGAGGGCCAGATGGGGGCAGGCAACGGGACCCTGCTCACAGTGGTGAGTGCCCAGCGGTGGGAAGAATGGACGGCATCGTGTCCTTGGCCCCACAGCGTGGCGCGCAGAAGGCTGGATGACCCACCGTCGAAGCTCGGGTGGCTGTGACTGGAGCTGCTTCAGGTGGTCAGCCAGCGCATACACGTTGGTCTGAAACTCTTCAAAACTGGGCTGTTAAACATCTGTATCCTGTTTTCATTAGCTTGAAAGCCATAGTGATGGAGACCTGCCTAGTTTTCTGAGCCAGCAAGTGTGCCCAGAGGCTAATAAACAGCAGGTGCCCCCAGTAAATATGATTCTAGTACTCAGTGTAAATGTGCGTGCAAATAAATATGTGAAATGAAAGGTGGGAGCTGAATTCTATATGCACGTTACACAGTTTCTTAGCTGTTCTGAACTGAGAACTGTAGTGCGACTGTGTGTGTGTGGTGTGTGTTCTACATGTGCAGGATGTGTGTACAGTGTGTGGGGAGTGTGTTTTTGCAGACGGAGTATATGTGGTGTGTGGTAGGGAGTGTGTGTATGGGTCTGTGTGCAAATGTTTGTGGTGTGTGTGTGTGTGTGTGTGTGTGAAGAGAAGTCCCCCTCATGGGGCCAGCCCAGTGGTTAAGTGCGCACGTTCCACTTCTTGGTGGCCCAGGGTTCACTGGTTCGGATCCCTGGTGTGGACATGACACCGCTTGGCAAAAGCCACGCTGTGGTAGGCGTCCCATGTATAAAGTAGAGGAAGATGGGTATGGATGTTAGCTCAGGGCCAGTCTTCCTCAGTGAAAAGAGGAGGATTGGCAGTAGTTAGTTCAGGGCTGATCTTCCTCAAAAAAAAAATAAATAAATAAAACAGAGAAGTCCCCCTCAGTGTGGAGACAAAACCAGCTACGTAATTTACAGGGCCTGGTGCAAAACGAAAGTGTGGGGCCCCTTGTTCAAAACTATTGGGAATTTCAAGATAGCAAGAGCAGAGCATCAAACCAGGCTTGGGGCCTTTCTGAGGGCAGAGCTCACGTGACTTCACAGGTGGAATGGCTCGAAGCCAGCCCTGGTTGGAGAATATGCACCTCCTGTCTCCCCACGTCCTTCCTTTGCTGAAAGTCCTGGAGCACCCCCCCACCCCCGGCTGTGCTCTCCCCATGCAGCTCCCGGGGTGACCCAGCTGAGGCGGCCTGGAGAGGAGCTGTGGCTCAGCCTGCGCCCTGCAAGGGCTTATCTGCTCCTTTCCTGACCCTCCTTGCACTTCGGTCTGGGTCTCACTGGGACACCCAAATCCGTAAGGTGTCTCTCGGCTCTTTGCTCAAAACGATCACCTGAGCACAGTCAGGTCCCCTCCCAGCCCCGCTGCCTGCCCTGCCTTCATTTTGCTCCCAGAAGTCATCAGGCAGCAGAAACAGCACAGAGCAGGAGCTACGTCCTCACTGCCCACCAAGGGCTTCGATTCCCAGGGGCCCCAGTGGGCCCAGTCCTGTCCTGGGGGAAAGAAACGGCAAAGAGGAACCGGGGACCTGGGCCCACACTGGGCTGGCAGAGCTCACAGCCCGAGACCTCAGGGAGGGGTTGGAGGGTGGGGACTCCCTAGGTCCTTCCTGTTTACGTCCTGATTTGCCTCCCCTCAGGTTAGGTGCAGCTTGCCTGCTTCAGAGCACGCTCAGGAGGTGCTAATGGGCAAGAATGAGGGTGCTCCTGCCCCAATACCTATACTTGTCAATAATTAGCCGTGATTTCCTAGGTTCTGGGAGGAGGTAGTGGCACCTGGCCCGCCCCTGCTGGTTTAGCTCATTAGTACCATTAACATAGCAATTCCAAGGTCCCTGAGTGGTTCTGGGTGTTCCAGATATGGGCATCTCCCAAGGGTTATGGGCACTTGAGAACTTACTTCACCATGTTCCTGGTCCTAGCCAGAAACGGCCCCTCAGCTCAACCCCTTCCAGCTCTCCTAGTACCCATGGGACCCCTGTGTGCTTCTGTCTTGAGGATCCAGATGGGCCTCTGTGAACAGCCAGCCTGGAGGGCCTCCCTGAGGAGGGCCACCTGCCCCAAGCCAAAGGACCCAGGAGTGTACAGGGTGTGAGGGAGCGTAGGGGGGGTGCGCCAGGGAGGGGATTTGGGGCCAAGTGGGTGGACAGCAGTGGAGAGTGCTATAAACCTGTTAATCACTGGCCATGGGGCTTGGCCTGCCCCAGAGAGAGAGAGTGACCAAGGCCCCCAATTCAGGGGTGTCATGATGAACCGACTTTCCAGAAAAACAAAAGTCCTGATTTAGAGTTTGCCAGTTTCCGTGGTGTAATATTACCACCAAGTCCGATTTCAAGCTGCCAGTTGGTTTAACAGCTGGCTCACAAAATTCTTGAGTATTTAATAGTCAGCTCTCGCTCACTGTGCGTTAGATCCCTGTCCACGTCACAGGCCATCAACAGCTCAGGCCGCCCGACCCCAACCTACACCTCCCTGAATGCAGCACACCTCTTGCCTGCCTTTATTTGCAAAATGCCCTTCTCGTGCCCCTTGGGGCCTGAGGCATGCCGGTCAGCCGTTTAAGTTCCTATGCCTGAGAGTCCTGGAATCAGGCGGCAGGCTGCCTCGCAGGCTGTCCTGGCGCTACTGAGGTGGTGGATGGGAGGTAGCTTTGCCAAAGTGAACACCGAACCCCGTCAAGTGAAGTGCCCGACCTGTGGGCCAGCACCATCTACCGCTAGTCCAGGGCGACGGGGAGGTCTGACCTCAGAGTCCACCATGACGGTTTGCAAAGCCACAGTCCTAGCTGTCTTTGTTTGCTAGCTGACGAGCCACCTTGCCTCTCACCTGCTTGGGTCACATGTCAGCTTCCCACTTCCTTCCCACTTCCAGGGGACCATGTGTGCAGAGTGATGCATCCCAGAGAGTCAGGAAGCCACTAGGTCAGTCCCTTGGCCCGCAGAATGCCCGTCCCAGGGGCTGGGAGTCCATCTTCACAAGTGGACTTGCAGAAGAGGCATCCTGGTCTTGCAGGTGGCGGGGCCGTTTCTCTGGGTGCAGGTGTTTCATTGTGTAACCTTCTCAGAGACCCACCTTGACACCTTCCCCGTGACTTCATTTCCCCCTCCTCTAGGCTCCTGGAATGGCACTAGGGCCCCACCTTAGCCAGGCAGCTGTGATGCGAGGTGTTGACCCAGCTGCCTCGCTGCTGGCTCATGGGGTCAGGTGGAAGGGGCTGAGACAGCAGCAGGGCCCAAGGGCTTTTCAACATGGGGGCCGCCCAGAGGCAGGACTGTGGCCAGGGTCCTCTGGGATTCAAGCAGGCACTGGGTGATGAGTGGTACAGGGAGCCAGAAAAGGACAGGCTCTGGGCCAGGAAAAACAGCCCAGAGCCACAAGTGTGCCACTGGTTCTTGCTCCCCTCACCGGTTTGGTGACAGCATTCAGCCAGTTCTGGAGCCCAGAAGAGAGCACCTGCTGAGCCCCAGAGTCAGTTTCCATGCGGGCTGGAGACAGTCATACATGACAGGTTTGTGTGGCCTCATGCCCTGGTTCATCGCAGGAGACAGACTGAACAGACCAGCACAACACATGGCTCAACCGGGAGTGGGTGCCTGGGGCAGGGGTGAAGGCTCCATGGAGGGGGTGACTTTTGAACAGAGTCATAAAAGTGGGTCCTCCCAACAGCCCCAATGGCCCTGGACAGGCCCAAGTCGGGCTCCAGCCCTAGGACCCGCAGATCTGCCTCTGGTCTTCTGTGGGGCAGCCCTGCACCCCCACCCCCTTCCCACATTAAGTCACACAGCCAGCTTCCTCCAGCCAAAGACTTCAGATCCTCACCACTGGCTTCACCGACATGGCAGACATTTCCCCCTCTCAGAAGAGAAGGGGGTGAAATTCCCTGGCTGCTCTTTCCATAGATGACCAGCTGAGGGGGGGTGGGGGGAGTGGGGCCAGGGCTGCAGCACCTGGGCAAAGGCTCTTGGAAGGTTCCTGGAAGGTGAGAGGGACCAGTGGGGGAAGAGACAACACCTGTGGAGCCCATTTCAGGACCTTAAGGAGGGTGCATGGGCTGAGGCCTAGCCCCGAAAAGTGCTGACTCTGAATTAAGTGTGATCAATGAGGGAAAATAGCAATTGAGTTCATGGAAAATGCTGGTGTGTGTGTGTGTGTGTGTGTGTGCCTTTATTTGAAAAAAAAAAAAAGCTATTTCTGGGGTGAGCCTGGTGGCTCAATGGTTAAGTTTGAACGTTCTGCTTTGGCGGCCCGGGGTTTGCCGGTTCGGATCCTGGGTGTGGACATGGCACCGCTTGGCAAAAGCCATGCTGTGGTAGGCATCCCACATATAAAGCAGAGGAAGATGGGCATGGATGTTAGCTCAGGGCCAGTCTTCCTCAGCAAACAGAGGAGGATTGGCAGCAGATGTTAGCTCAGGGCTAATCTTCCTCAAAAAAAAAAAAAAAAAAAAAACACCAAAAACTATTTCTGTGTATTCTTGTTTCTAGGACCCTCCTCTATCTCCCTCCCCAGGGAATCTTATGGGATTCCATAGTTGGTTTAGAATGCACGAGAAACATCTACCCTATGCCTCACACATAGTAGGAGTGCAATAAATGTAAGCTCCTTTCCTTTAATTGTTCTGTGGTCACTTTGGTTTGAGGGCAAGAGGGCTTTCCCAGTCTAGAAGCTGATGGGCCTCCGGTCCCTGCCTCCCCCTCCCTTCTCCAGCTGATGCAAACCCCTGAGTGTCATAATGTCCGCCGTGTCCTCATCTGTTATGATGGGACACAGGCTGAGGAGGGTACCTGGGTAGGCTCCCTCTGAGTGAGGCTGACCTTTCCTGCAACGTGGGCTGGCCTGCGCCATATCCCGTGGATGGATGCAGAAGGGTGAGGCACTGATCCTGCTAGTTGGGCAGGATGCTGGCTGGAGGGCGGGACGAGGAGAGGTGGAGCTTCCAGAACAAAGGAGAATGAGGAGCCCTGGGGGCTCAGCCAAGGCATCAAAAAGGTTCTGCAGAGGGAGCAGGCCACAGCAGCTGCCCGCCTCTGCACCTAGAAGTCGGTCAGACAGCTCTCGCCCGGTCCCTTCTGGCTGCCCTAGGCCGGCCACCTTAGCAACACTGTTTAGAGCGGCCTTGTTCTCCAGCGTGATTGCGCCGACACTGCTCTGGGGCTTTCTCTACTTGGCGTGCGTTGCTGCTGCAGTTCCAGGGGAGAGAAGAGGGATGGCCGAGAGCGGAGCCAGGAGCCGGGAGGGCCGCCGGGAGCGTACCTTCATGCCAGAGCCTTTTGATGGAGCTAATGTAGCCCCACACCTCTGGCTGCACCGCTTTGAGGCCATAGACAACCTCAACCATTGGGACCATGGCACCAAGCTACGGTTCCTGAAGGAGGCTCTCAGGGGAGACGCCCTGGAGGTCTACCGTGCACTTAGTCCTCAGGACCAGGGGGACTATATGGCTGTGAAGGAGACTCTCCTGAAGGCCTTTGGGGGGTCCGGAACTGCCCACAGCCACCTGCCCAAGGAGATCGTCTTT